TGATGAGGCAGGGCGAGTATGTGGTTGTGTTAAAAATTCCCTTGAGCGGCGGGAAAAATCCTCCGGCTGTTGACTTTTTTTGATTTTCCTTCCATTTTCCTTTTGAGTAGGGAGGGAGGGAATGGGATGTACTGACACCGCCATTTCACACATTTCGATGCTCTTCCCTGCAGGTGGCTCTCACATGTTTGTGCATGTGATAAATGAAGCAATAAGATTCCTGTTCTCCCTAGTAGCTCCACCCATCAGTCTACAGCTCCGCCCCTGTGTTGCGCTCATTTATAATGTACTGCTCATTTTCTCGTTTTCCCATGGCTTCTGTACCGCCCACGCATGCACTGCCTCTTTGCCTTTCGCTCTTCGTCCAGCTCTTAAAATGAAAAGGGAAGACCTTAATTAGGGTATTTTTGATGCTGGCTTCGTTCCTCCTAAATCGTGATTCATTAGTCGTTCAAAAGTTCGCTCTCGGACCCACTATTCAATGCTCGCGATCCCGGAATGTGCCATTGAGCCAAAAATTTCTTTTCAAAAAAGTTTTTGTTTTTTATAGGACGGTATAATTAGCCACGAAATTGGCCATTCTTTGGGATTTTACCACGAGCAAGCTCGTCCGGACAGAGATAACTATGTAACGTAAGTTTATTCATGAGTTGTAACATATCGAAGGCAACCTGCACGCTCTTAGAATTCTGGTCCTCGTCATGTGCGAGTAGAGCACGATGACAGCCGCACAAATGTGACTTTTTCGTGACTCGAAAGTGCCTGGAAAGGCAAGGGCAGTCCGCGGATGATAGTGATAGCTAACGCCGCTTCTGCCTCTGCCAGCAGGCACCACGCAACACGCGACATGCCGCACGGCCAGCCCCACGCCTCACCTTAGCCAAACGCGCTACTTTTCTGTGCCGCTCTCACGTTTGGTTGTTCTCTATCATCGGCTGCGTGTTCGCAACAGGGTTTCACTATCACCACGACTGCTGCACCTTTAGGATGGCGCGGGCGGAGATGCAAACGGTTCCGAGCAACCGCTATCTTCAGCCGCATTTCTGCGAGTTTTCGATGGCCGAATGTGCCGCGGTTGACACCTGCCAACCCCTTTTTTTCTTGAGCATGACGAGGATGTCTTCGCAGAGGCGTGTAAAGTTTGGCTTCAAGATTATATTTGGGTGAAGCTTTGTAATGAAGTGATTTCAGGGTATTCCCGAGAAATGCCGTGCCCGGTCTTGAAGGGCAATTCGACAAACTGTTACCAGGCCAATCTGTAGATTATGG